GAGAAATTCATCTTCTATAGCAGGTACACCACATTAACCTTTACGGTGCATAGTTATTAATATTCATCTAAATGCATACAACTCGTTTTATAAAAAATAAATAAAAAAAACTCTCCGTATGCTGTGTCATGCTGTGACCTCATTATTCCTAAATTAAGCCCAGGAGAACAAGTCTACATCTGTTGCATTGCTTTCAGCAGAATAGCATAAAAAGAGCAGTTTAATCTATCATGATTAGGAACGAATGATGCTACAACACAACATCAATGTCATGCATCTGAGGGATTCTCAGCAGTAAAATTAATATTGATTCATATGTTACTTTAACCCATTCATGTCATGTCATTAACAATTTATACATACATTAACCCTGCTGGAGTTGCGGCATAGTAGTTAGCACATGTACATAATGAGCCCTGGGTGCTCATGTGGGTGATATGAGTTTTAATAAGGCCAAACAAACAAACAAACAAAGCAACAAATAAATACTATATCTCATTTAATAGTAATTTATTTGATATATATACTGTGTATATATATATATATATATATATACATACACATACATGTATGCAAATTTAATAAATATAATACGTTACATAATACGTTTCATGTTTTATATTTAAGTCATTTTGAATAATGCATATTAAAGAAATACACAGGAATAGAAATACATGTAAAATATCATATAAACAAATGATGTAAAAAGATAACGATTTTTTAAATATTTAATAATATTTAAAATGTTAAACATTGAAATATTTAAATATATATAACAATATATTAACATACTTATTACAGTTATATTAATATACTACTTATTCAAAATTCTCTACATACAAATATAAGTATGACAAAAAATACAATTCAATTTAATACAATTCAATTGACATTATTTTATAGTAATTTTGAAAATTATATTTAAAAATATGTAAAATACATTCATATATAATAGTATTTAATGAACATTTAATGGTAATATTTGGAGTATTTTACATTTTTGAAAAATATATAGACAAATATATAATAATATATAAATATGTTTATTAGAATTATATGAAAATGCTAAATATGGTAAAATTAAGATATCATTTATTTTACATAATATTATTTTGAATATTGCATTATTTTTTTGTTAAAAAAATTGTTAATCTTGTTACTAACTTATTTTCATGGTATATTTTTGAATATCGTAGTAGTAGCATCTGATACCATCATCTGTAAAGAGTTAAAGTGCTCATTTCTGAACATATTGTAAAATCAGTTCTTTGAGCTCTGCGACAGCACAAGCATCTTTGGGTTTATTCAGAGCAGCAGTCAGGGACCATTACAATACAGAGCTCTTCTGAGCGGATTATTAACGTTCTGTTTCCATGGCGTTTCTTTTCATCCCCAGTGTTCTCCATGCAGACGGCTCTCTATAGATGAGCCAGGTTATCAGCAGGACTGAAGCACTAATCCCCGGCCAGAAATGACTGTCTTCCGAGCCTGTTTGTCTGCTTTTTTCCCTCCCTCTCAAGTGGAAAGATCCACTCCACAAGGTCACGCTCAGAAAAGCATTGAGCGGGAGTCAGGAAAATGACATACCTGAAATATGATGAACGGCCGCCCCGACCAGCCAAAAAGCAGATGGCAATTAATACTTAGACAGGGAACGGATGAATAAAAGAGAGCAGGAGGAGGGAGAGAACCAGAAAAAGGGCGAGAATGGATACCTTAGGGTGCGTGTGTTTACTCAACTCCAGAACATGACACTAAAAACAAGTGCACGGGAGAATTAGTGTAACCTCGTTTAAAAATATTTTAAGAAAGAAAGTAGGCCTACTTAAATTACCTGTGAGAAATGTTTGATGTTCTGTGACACACTTTGGAGTAAAAGCGCACAGTGTGAAACAAACGAAATGACAACTGATGATGCCTCAAACTACCGCAACATAGAAAAGTGAGGCTTATATTTGAATTTGGCCTATATTTGAATAGAAATCTGGAGCAGATTAATGCTTAACTGCTCTGTCAGTGTTGGTGCAACTTGAGTAAACTGGTGAATTAGTTCTGACTCTGAGGTACTTGGTTTCTGTGAACTTCACTGAATGTATATGTACTCCCTAGGGCTAGGCCATGTTACAATACAGATGCAGTGCAATCATCTAAAAAAAAATTGTATGTCATATAGTCCGCAGTGCACTATGCAATAACAAAAATTCCAAATGGTAGCAAGCTATATATTTAGACAGCCATAAGTTAAGACTATAATAAAAAATAAAATGCCATTTTGTCTATCAAACATTAAAAGAGTCTTCTTAGCCTTTCCTGTAATGTCACTAAATTAGACCATGTTCTTTTTTGTCAGAGTTTCTAAATCCTTTACGTTTCTAGATGAACTAAAAGAATAGCCAGGTTCATAGCTACTGAACAAAAGTCTGAGACCAAACTGAAAGCAGGGAAATAGTTTTAGGATTTTAGACATGTACAGACTATAATAAAAAATAAAAAAAATATATATATATATATATATAAAATATGTAATTTTTCATGTTTTTCCATAAATATATTTAAACTACCATGACTTGAGTATATAAACAATATATGCATGTGTATGCTTTAGGGCTGCAAAACGATTAATCGTGATTAATCACATTCAAAATAAATGTTTATGTTTACATACTATATGTGTGTGTACTGTGTATATTTATTATGTGTATATAAATACACACACATATATGTATATATATTTTAAAAAATATATGTGTATATATTTATACTTGTATATAAATTATATTATGTATAAATATAAATGTTACATATAAATCGAACATATTTTCCCTAAATATATACATGTATGTGTGTGTATTTATAAATACATAATAAATATACACAGTACAAACATATAGTATGTAAACAAACTTTTATTTTGAATGAGATTAATCGTGATTAATCATTTTGCAGGTTTTGCTGAATGCAATGTATATTTTATATTGCTTTAAATAATTATCTATATTTAGACTACCATGAGTTAAGGCTATCATAAAAAGAAATGTGATTTTTTTTAGTTTTATATACATATATTTAAAATACCATGAGTTAAGAATATCTACAGTATACAGGTGTTTTATATAAACTCTTATGTAAAGCCATCTTAACTCAAATTCATGATCATCTAAAAAAAGGAGTCATTTTTAATTTAGTTACAATTTTTATCATAGAAGAATTAGGCCTACATCTTACCACTGCTAATATGAATTCTGCATAATCAAACTGAAATGGAAGGTCAAATTAAGCAAAATATCTATATTCTCTCTCTTCTCTCTATATATTACACACGGCAGATGAATAGTATGCTGTTCTGAACATAGTCTCTGTAAACTTTACACAAGCTGCTCAAACAAAAACTACAAACTCTGTAGAGTTATTATACATAAAAATGCACAAAACTATAGTTTCATTTAATTAATTTCTTTTTTATTAATTAATAAAAAATTTTAAAAAACATGCTAAAACTAAGCTAATCCATTGGATGTGCAGTGAAAATTAATTAATCCTGTCAGTTAGCATGGAGGGTAGAGATGTGCTAAAACTGCCTTCACTAAAAGTAAAGTTTAGCCATTTAAAAGCAGTTTTTAGGGGTATTTTTTCTTATCCAAAAGAGGTGTAAAGTCTTTATACTATAGATTATTTTATTTTAGGTAGCCAATGTAAACAGCACTCTAATGTCGGACAACAGGTCGTGTAAAATAACTCGAAGTGCAGCAACATCAGAGAAAGAGCAGCAGCGCCCCCTAGAGACCACACTCAGAAGTGTCATGCATAACTCATACATTTTTTCCTGCATCAATTTATGATTGCTCTGAATCCAGTCATCATACAAACTCATTTCATATCACAAAAACATAGGTAAAACGACAGAAGAGAAGAGAAGCATGCAGAGATTTTAGCTTTTTACCTTTACAAAGTAGTACTGCCACAAATACCATGGTACTGCAGTGCATATACTATGTCATTTACACACATGGTACCAGTGGCGTGCACAGACCTCCGGAGGGGCAGGGGCTAAGCCACGTTGCTGGGGGGTTCCCCTCTGTAGAAATGCACTGAATGGTATCATGTCACTATCTTCCTAAATAAAATCAAAGAGGCACCACTGCACATGTTCAAAAACATGTACAGGTGCATCTCAATAAATAAGAATGTCGTGGAAAAGTTCATTTATTTCAGTAATTCAACTCAAATTGTGAAACTCGTGTATTAAATAAATTCAATGCACACAGACTGAAGTAGTTTAAGTCTTTGGTTCTTTTAATTGTGATGATTTTGGCTCACATTTAACAAAAACCCACCAATTCACTATCTCAACAAAATAGAATACTTCATAAGACCAATAAAAAAAAAAAATTAGTGAATTGTTGGCCTTCTGGAAAGCATGTTCATTTACTGTACATGTACTCAATACATGGTAGGGGCTCCTTTTGCTTTAATTACCGCCTCAATTCGGCGTGGCATGGAGGGGATCAGTTTGTGGCACTGCTGAGGTGGTATGGAAGCACAGGTTTCTTTGACAGTGGCCTTCAGCTCATCTGCATTTTTTGGTCTCTTGTTTCTCATTTTCCTCTTGACAATACAAGATTCTCTCTGGGGTTCAGGTCTGGTGAGTTTGCTGGCCAGTCAAGCACACCAACAACATGGTCATTTAACCAACTTTTGGTGCTTTTGACAGTGTGGGCAGGTGCCAAATCCTGCTAGAAAATGAAATCAGCATCTTCAAAAAGCTGGTCAGCAAGGAAGCATGAAGTGCTCCAAAATTTATTGGTAAACGGGTGCAGTGACTGAGTTGAATTACTGAAATAAATGAACTTTTCCACGACATTCTAATTTATTGAGATGCACCTGTATTAGCATGATATATTGTCCAAAACAAACATTGCAGCCTATATATCCAAAAATACACATATCAGTACCATGGTACTTTCCTGTAATATATTTAAGCACGAAATATGGTTTCTTACCTCTTGAGACAACTTTGGCAGGCAGTTTTCAAGAAATCCTTGGCTATGCAGAATGCATACGGCTCGCATGAATGAATCACCTCACCGGCTTTGATTTCACGCAGAGCACGCAAACCATTTCCTTTAGCCTCACTGACAAACCTCTCCATATTCACAGCCATCATATCACAACAATATCATCACTCGAATTCAGCGTCCATGTGCCGACATACAGTTCATACACATTATGAATGCCCTGTTTGTATTCATGACTGTCAACTTGACACGGCACTGCGCAGGTTATTAAAAAGCCGAAGCTCACTACAACACATTTCACCACATATCAGATCTTTTCATAATTATTTATATAAGTATAAATAGTTTATATTGAGACGAATGCAAGCTGCACATAATAATATTAGAATAACACAATAACAAATAATAGAATAATAATATCAATACATCCAAGAATGCGCAAAACTGACGCACTCTTGATCAGCATAGTATTTTGGCGAGTCGCGGCAACATGACGTACGTTGTGCGCCGCACCAATAGGATTGCGGAACAATCGGGTCAACAACATGCGGGCTTCAATGTCACAGACGCGCGTGCTGCGCAGCTTTCATTAATGTAGATCCCGTGGACAAGAACTGTATTATTTGAGGTTAGTTTGGGTTCAAATTATCTATAAATGTGTTGCCAACAATCTGCATGTGTTTATTTTATCAGGAGAGACTGATAGTTAACGAGTAACGTTACGTTTTGCTGCCACAGCATGGGACAGGATTATAGTAGGCTACGTAATGTGATGAATTTAAGCCAAGGTCCAAATGTGCATTTATTGATGCATTGTGCATTAATCAGAGGCGGACAAATACTCAACTGTATTACTTGAGTGAAAGTACAGATACTGCTGGTCAAATATTACTCCGTTGCAAGTAAAAGTTGTAAAGACAGATTTTTACTTAAGTAAAAGTACTTGCTTTTAAAAGTACTTAAGTAGCAAAAGTTAATTTCCTTTTTTATGTCAATGCACTGTTTTATTGTTGTACGTAATACTTGCAATACTTCTAAGTAAATGTACTTAGTTACTGTCCGCCTCTGGCATTAATCATGTATTGATGCTTATCTAGTCATTTAAATCTGTTACAAATGGCTCGTTGTGATTACAATCTATATCAAATTATTTTATTGGAATTTTTAACGGAAATCCATATGTCAAAAGGTTTTGGAAGCCTGTGTAGTTCTGTATGTTATGAATTTGCCTATAATGCATATTATAAATAATATATTAATATTATATAATGCATGTTATATAAAACGCATAGGGTTTCTTTTTCAAGCCGCGTAAAAAAACTTTAAAATGTTTTATGTATTGGGCAAAATGCAGTTTATATATATATAATGCAACAATATTACAGTAAAAAAAAATTAATTGGTGAGGTTTGGATTTACTATTTTAATTGCATATTATATGATTTCAGGCTTCAAGCTTGTTGGTCATCATGGCCACGTGTGGAGGATGTAGGTTCTTTGTCCTGACTTTAAGAACTCTTTGTGGAACATCAAGATCTGCATCACCCTGTGCTCTGCCTTTAACCAAATACAGGACTTTGTCCACCTCTGTGAGAACTTACTCTCTAGACCCATTCCCCTCCGGGTCAAGGAAGACCCCGGCTCAGGTGGGCAAACCAGAGCGAATTTCTCCATCCTCAGGAGGCGTTCAGAGGAATCTCTCTGCTGTCGCCGTGCCCCTGCAGGGTCAGTTTCGCCCCCTCTGCCGGTACGATCCTTTAGATTTGGGCGATGTGGATGAGAACACACAGAAAGCGCTGGCCTGTAAACACCTGAGACGGTTCATCGTAGACCCTTCCCTCGCACGAATCGTGACCGACCACCTCGCTGGAGACATTGATGATGGGAAAGCTGTTATATTTGAGTGTAACCCAGGTGTGTGTTCCTCAACTAATAATTTAATGCTGTCAGTATTTGTAAAAATATTAATTTGGGTTTTGTCTCTGTCCGCAGGTCCTGGGGTGTTGACACGCGCTCTGCTGAACCGTGGGGCTCAAAGAGTAGTAGCCCTGGAAAGTGATACAAACTTCCTTACTGAGCTGAAGGTAGACATCCGAAATGATCTAATCTCATTCTGCTCACTGTCAGCTTTTATTTCCCTAATAAATAACCTAGAGGTGGGCAATATGGCAAAAATATCAAAGCACAGTATTTTTCAGGCAGGGTGACAATCCACAGTCTTATCACAATTCTTTTTTTTATGTTGATTTTTAGACTATTTTGCAAGTTAATTAACTTATTTTCCTATTATGTTCCCTATTTCCCCTACTGAATTAAGTAAATATATTTTGGATTGTTATTAAAACTACAACAGTTCTTCAGAACTCACCCTGAGGCCATCCAAGATGTAGATGAGTTTGTTCTTCTTCAGAACAGATTTGGAGAAATTTAGCATTCCATCACTTGCTCAGCAATGGATCATCTGCAGTGAATGGGTGCCGTCACAATGAGAGTCCAAACAGCTGATAAAAACATCACGATAATCGACGTGACCCCAGTCCATCAATTAACATCTCAGGAAGTAAAAAGCTTAATGTTTGTTTAAATAAGAAGTTTTAACTTCAAACTGTTGCTTCCACCTTAAATAGTCAACTGTCCGTAATACTGCTTTCTCCAGTGAAAAAGTCATCTCATGACACAGATTAAGTGTTGTTTACTAGAGGAAGCATTATTATGGATTATTAACTGGTATTTTGACCAGAAGAAATGGTTTAAAAACATCTTAATGATGGATCTGTTTCTTACAAACATGCAGCTTTTCATTTCGCAAGACATTGTTTTTAAAAGCTATTTGAACTCTCATTCTGACGGCACCCATTCACTGCAGAGGATCCATTGGTGAACAAATTATACAATGCTAAATTTATCCAGATTTTTTCTGACGAATAAACAAACTCGTCTTCTACATCTTGGATGGCCTGAGGGCGAGTAAATTTTCAGCAGATTTTTATTTTTGGGTGAACTATTCCTTTAAGACCTAATGCACTGATCCAATATACTGACACACATCCAATCTCCTCCCAACTGTTCACCTTTACTTGATTATTATGAAGAACATCAATGTCAATGTAACCGCGATAGATATTAATAAAAAAACAGCACACCTCTAAAATAACCTTTGATCCTAAAAGGACCTGGAGCACAAACTGGAAGGGCAGCTGGATGTGGTTCATTGTGACTTCTTCAAACTGGATCCCATCGGCCACGGCAGCATGAAACCTCCCGCCATGTACTCAGAGAAGCTCTTCTCTGACCTTGCCATCTCTGAGGTTCCTTGGTCAGCAGGTTAGTGCCCTAAACATTCAGATTATTGTGAAAGGGCAGAAAGAAGGAAAGTAATGAGAGAATGAGTAAACAGTCCGTTTTAAGCAAGGAATAAATGTGTACATGTTTTTTTATTTCTTTCCATTTCTTGAGCAGATGTCCCAGTCAAAATTGTGGGGATCTTCACACAAAGAAATGAGAAGAACATACTGTGGAAGCTGATTTACAACCTGTTTGAGTGCCGCTCCATTTTCCGCTACGGACGTGTGGAGTTGATCATGTTCATCAGCCAGAAAGAATACACGGTGAGTTTGCATGTCTCCAATCTATGAGAACGTTTAAGTTATATAAGTAGCAGGGGTTTGAGCTTTCAAGCTGGATCCAAGTATGAATTATGATTTATTTCTCTTTCAGAAACTAGTGACCCGTCCAAGAGATTATAAAAACTACCAAGCTTTCAGTGTTCTCTGGCAGATGGCCTGTGATATTGAGTTACTGCATGAGGTGAGACATTCTTATCATTATTTATGCATTATTGTTACCTTTTTCTGGGAATAATTATCAATTAATGATTGGTGTGTTTGTGCATGTACTGTTTTTGTGAATTTCTGCTTCTTCATTACCAGGAGCCATTGTCATCCTTTCTAACTGTAACCAAGAAGACTGGAAGGCCCTCCTCAAAGAACACTGTAAGTATTGGCACACAAGTACTATCACTTTAAGATTCAGCATCTGTTAAAGGGTTAGTTCACCCAAAAATGAAAATTCTGTAATTAATTACTCACCCTCGTGTTGTTCCAAACCCGTAAGACCTTCGTTCATCTTCGGAACACAATTTAAGATATTTTGGATGAAATCTGAGGGCTCTCTGACCCTCCCATAGACAGCCAGGTAACTACCACGTTCAAGGTCCAGAAAAGAACCAAAAAATATCTTAAATTGTGTTCCGAAGATGAACGAAGGTCTTACGGGTTTGGAACAACACGAGGGTGAGTAATTAATGACATAATTTTCATTTTTGGGTGAACTAACCCTTTAATATTGTATAGTGGTTCAGGAGAAGCACTGTGTCATCACATCCTTCTTTCTAATGAATTTGATTGCAGTTCTTCTTAATGAATAACCTGAAATCATTAGTAAATCAGTCTGAATTGATCAATGTGTCATTGGTCTGAATCATGGGCTGAGCCAGACAACTCATTTTCCCACTGAATAAACTCAGATTTATCACTCACTCACTTAATTGCAGGTTAATGCTCGCTATTAAAAAATGAGCTGAGAAACTCCAAAGTTTTTCATTTACACGCTTTTTTTTTTCCTCCACAGCAATCCCAGAGTGATAACCTTTGCTTGGTGCGGATAACTCCACGTGAGGACTTGTTTAACTCTCACCTGACTCCCTTGAATGGCAGCACTCTGGTTTTGATGGTGAAACAATGCCTTGCCAAAAGGAAAAGCAGACTGATAGAACAAATTAAGTAAGTTTATGAACTCTGACCTGTATTTAGATACAAACTAGAACCTATATAAGGGCGGCTGTATTCATACTTTCCTTTTGTCTTCTGTTTTCCAAAGCTCATGGAGTCCCGACAGTGGACCAGAGCTCATTTCAAAGCTGGGCTTCCTTGACGACACAATGACAGGCGATGTTTACCCTGATGAGTTCAAGCGTCTGTTTGAGCTAATGGAGCAGTCCGGAAACTTCACTGAGAGCTGGCTTTATGAGGAGACGCTGGAAACCACAAACAATGGTCACGCATAACACCGCCATATACAGACATTCAGAGCTAATCATGGATGAAAAACAAAAGACGTTGTTTTATATGGAAGAGACAGCTAAAGAATAAAAAAACACTATTACTTAAAGAAACCCAAATCCTTAATGATGGCTAATAGCCTATTTAGACAGACTTGTCTGTGAAGGACTTTACATTTTGATAAAGTTGTATTTGGTCATAAAATGTGGACTGGAGGAGCTGGTTTCATCAGTGGTCGTTTTGGTTGACTGCTGGTTGGATACCTTTGGACGAGTTTGGAGACGTTTTTTGGTATAAAAAAAAAAAAGATACTGTCGCATTTTCAGAGAGGTATTGTTGCCATGTTGAAGCCATGAAGCCAATAACCATTAAGTGTGTACTACAAGTACACCAAATACCTGCTTGATCTCTTTGATAGTAAGCAGGAAATATCACATTTGAACATTACAGGAATAAAAACTATTTGTAATTCTAATGATTACATTACCAAACCCATTAATGATGTAAATTTTCAAAAGGACTTTTTGTTTGTTTCCTTGTTTTTGTCATTTTTTGTTTATGTTTGTTGTATTTAAATATATGAATTTTTAATAAACAACAAATAAATGACTACATAAATGTAAGAATTGCTTGGTTTTGAAATAATCTATCTATCAGAATATTATGAAGAACCAAACCTGTAGAAAGAAAGAAATGTAATAATAGGACAATAAATGACTTGCTAAAACAGATGCAACTGATTCAATAAATTTAATTTAGTTCAGAATTTTGCTTACTTTTCCCCAATTATTTTCTTTCCTGTTAACCTTTTTATTCCTAGGTTTTTGGTTTCATTATTTTTTCACTAATTTTTATGTTATGAAATGTATATTATGTATGTACGTATAATATCATCCACAAGGTGGCGTAGAGTACTATATAATCAATGATCCCCCTACAAATTTACAAATCCTGCTATGATAAGACTTGGTTTATGAATATTAATTATGTTACGAGTTGGGACGGTTACCAAGCAACATCAGCATGACCTAATTAAACACCTTCCCGTTCATAGATATGTATAGATGTAAATATACATGTTCCCGCTGACGTACACGGAAGAGTGGCGGGTGGAGCGGCGCAAAATCCTACTATAGCGAAGGCCTGGTTCTTGAATATTAATTACATAGATATGTATATAAACTAATTATTTTACGTTAAGGTTCCCGCACGATACACTTAATATTCATGCGCCTTGAGCTGAAGTACCCGGATAGTGGCGGGAGGGAGGAGCTGCGCAGACGGCTGAAGAACCCGGATGAGTGACAGGAAGAGCTGCGCAGACGTGCAGCAGAAGCAGAAACACAAACACACATCAGCCGACAGTAAAGAGCGCGGTTGCCTGGTTCATCCGCATTTAACCACTTGCCCTATCGATCTGTAAGTGCTGCCTCTTATTTTGAATACATTATTCATGAAAGATAATATCCGCGTTTAAAAGGCAAAATGAAACGTGCAGTTCGTTGCAATAAATGTTTGATTCACTTAAGATGCTATGCATGTTAGCGATTGAATTAATGACAGCTCTATCCGCACCTGATGTGATAAATAACACTTCTGATAGCAGTTTAGACCAATGTGATGTGAGAAATGATGAAAGCGGCTCTCATAGAGCTTTAACCCTGCTTTTATATATAAATGTGACTGATGTTTTGATGCACGTAGAATCGTGTGTGTGTGTGTATAGCTTATATACGATGATTGACACACTGTATTACATAATATCAACATCTGTTTATCCAGCTGCAGAACGGCCTGTGTTGGTCTCTCTTAGTTTATAAGCATAATGTTGTGATAGAAAATAATCTTTAAAAGCGAATGGTGTCCTTAAGTTTAAAGAATTATTTCAAGTGGTCATGTGTCAAAACAGAATGATTTTGTTTTGCTTCGCTGAGCGTGAGATATGCATATGCAAATGTTGTTTATCTGTTAAATAACTTGCTTTGTGCTTCATATACAGGGAAATAGATCATGATTAGGCTAGGAAAGGAATGTCATTTCAGTGTATTGACTCACCATAGAGGTCACAACCCCTCCCAAAGGTCATATTTTGAGTTTAGTTTTGCTAGCCTGGACTTTTCTGGTATTATCATCAATTATTATTACATAATAAGCTATAATATAGAGTCGCTTGGCCATTATCATACAATAAACCATTTCAAGGTGATGCAACATGATCCTGAACACCATGACAGGAGTTTGTTTTGTAATAATGACAGCAGTCCTAAACAGAAAAAAGTTTAAGTTAAGTTACTAAAATGTACCATTTAGACACAAATATGTACACTCTAGGTAATGATAAGTACTTTTAAGATACTAATATGCACTCTATAGGGGAAAATAAGGTATAAAGGTGTACCCGGTTAACAGCTTTTGTATCTTTTTTTATAAGAGTGTAGAATGCAACAGTCCCGGCCACTTTTTTCCATATCGTTGGTTCCGTAGGATTTTTCCATAGGATTTTTAAAAACAAGTTTAAGAGTTATAAACCTTGAACCAAACTAACCACGCACGAGGTAAATCACAGCATTACAAACATTAACATTTGAAGCACAAAAAAAAACGTATTTGAAAGTCAGACTAAAAACAAAAGGTACAATGTGTACTTAATGGCTTTAAATTGATGAGGAAAAGAACTACAATCCCATGAAACATTGCGAATGACATAATCAAAATGAAATTTTTAATGCAAAATATGCATGGTATGCATACAAATATGTATGTCATAAACATTGCTCCATGTGAGTGGGTAGGCCCTAAAACGTTCTTTTGGCGTGATTTACGTGTCGTGATTCTCTTGATTGGTGGATGTTTCTCTGCAGATTCATGGGTAATGTAGTTTTCACCAAACATTAATTTAAAAAAAGTTGAAATAAGAAAGTAAATAAAATTAGTTGAAATAATGCAGACTGATGGCTTCAACAAAAGCATATTCCATCGATTAACAACCTCATAGCTCACAATAGGTCTGTCTTTAAAGATTTATAAATTATCGTTCAAAATCAATTCCCTTATGGAGAAAATGAATTTTTTATTTTTAAGTCCGGAGCTTAAGTGCTGCACTCTATTGCCAAGACTGACCAATTAGAATCCAAATAGAAATTAAAGCTGCAAGCAGCGATGAAAGGGCCCTCGCACCCGGGCTCACCGCCACCCGGTGGCTTTTGGAAAAGAGCAAAGAGTGGGCAATATGCATTTAAAGTGGTAAATATAAGAGGAATATGTCAAAGTCATTTATATGCGCCAAACTTCCTGCTGCCAGCTGGTGGCGCTATGACTATAACTGAAAAATGTAGAAATATTTAAATACAGATTGAATATATATATATATATATATATAAAAAAAAAGGTATTCTACAACATTTAGAAAGAAGTTTCAGTATTACTTCAGTTTAAACGTTCAGTTTTAAGTCAGAATAGAGGATTGATGTTAATTTCACAGATGGTTTTGAAGAACGCTGTGTGCGTACGGGACACATTTGTGTCTAGCTACTCCAATCATGCTTGTTTTTCAGGATGAATAAACCTATTTCTCATCTCTCTCTCTCTCTCTCTCATTCACCCCTCAGGCTGTAATGTTGTTAAAGGAGCTAATGAGAGAGTCAGTGCAGCTGTCTTTGATTATTAATGAGCTCTCTCTTAAAAGAAAGCGGATGAAGGAGCATGGCAGCTCACAGACCCACATTTCTGCTTGCCATAATGTGGCTGACCTCATGTTATTGTGGCTGTGCCCTTTAAAGTCTCAACTATTAACATAAAAATCTTCTGATGAGCTTTTTTGCATTTGGATTTTGAAATGAAAGCAGTCACAAACCCGAGACAATGGCTAGTTGTTATCACTTTTAGTCACTCAGAATTGATAGAAAGCCCACATGTGTGAAGCGGTTTACCTGGCCCTTGTCGTTGATGTGGTCTGGATGTGTGTAGGTGGTCACACCGCAGGCACAGATCCGATGGTCCTCGGCTCACTGAGTCACTGTGTTGTCAGAAAAGCGAATGAACGCCTGGGGTCCGCTGTGAGTCAGTCCGCACTTCTAGAGCCAAATAACATCAGGATCAGGTCCTCTTCACAAACAGCCAAGTTCTTTCTGTCTGCAGTGCCCTGGTAAATGATGATTAATTGGTTCACTTCATTTATTTTGTAAATTGCAACATAGTGGCATTTCTAATGTATATATGCAAGACATGGCAAGTTTAATTATAGGCTATATCACATTTTATACACAATAGTAATTCAAAGTGCTTTACATAAAAAGGATTTTAAAATAATCATAAAAGATGCAAAATAAATGAAAATACTACACTAAAAAGTAAATAATTTTTTTTATTATTAATTAAAAACAAAATACAAATAAAAAGAATGTCAGCTAATAAAATGGTACTATGTTTATGGCTTTTAGTCCATGTCTGTTAGCTTGTAAGTCGTCTATATATTAGTGTACTTCTAAAAAGGGACTAATATTATTTATGACTGACTCATATTGCAGTAGTTACATTACATTAGTTTGTGGCCAGCTCATAACATTTCCTTTATTTTCTGTCTTTGATCTATATTTGGAAAGGAAAAGGTTGTTAAAAAGCAGAAAGAAAACTGAAATTGAAGTGACTTTAGAATTGTAATTTACTTACATTATTTATCAGCCAATTCCATATAACTTGAAATCTTTAATTCTCCAAACTCTGAGCTCAAAACAATGAACACCAATTGACAGTGCTGTCCATATCTGAGGGATTATTTGAGTATTTTAGTGGATTATATAATTAGCCAGTGTTATTTTAGTATTATTTATGTATTTTGAAATAAAAAGTTGCGAATTAAGATTTTTGGAGTACGTTTTACAAAAAAAAAAGAAAAAAAATACTATTGCAGTCATTCTATTTCAAAATTGCATGTTTAATTTAGTGTTACTTGCGTTTTGTTTTTTTGTAATTATTTGTAAAATGTACTAGTACTTTTTGAGTGAAAAGTTTCAAAAGAAGTCCTATACCAATTTTTGAGTATAGTATTTTATTATTCAGTTTTCATTTAGGTTTTAGATTGTTTTAGTAATTTTGTCTTGCGCTTTTATCATTTTTATTAGTTTTTGTGTTTTTGTACATATTTCTATTTATCTTGTAGAACTTCAGCTTACATTTGTTTTATTTCAGTTAGTTGCCAACATTTTGTTTTTACATTTTTGTTTAAGTTTTTACATTTTTTTACACCTAGTATTTTTTTTATTTCGGCTTTCAGCTTTTTAACAGAAATTATATTTTACAGTTTTAGTTGACAATAACAACACTGGATTCAGCTTAGTTTGTTCACTTAATGCACACTGAACTGCCTTAAGCGTTATCATCGTACGCAGTGACCTATAAGCGTTTTTTCATTCATTCATTCATTCATTCAGTCTGCAGCTCCAGAATCCCCGAGCAGATGAAAAACAAACAGCCAGTCTGCTTTAAGATCTGTAAGATGCTGTATGATATTGCGTAAGCTCTGTCATGAGACGGTATGGTAATAAGCATGATGCTTTTTCTTCTATAACAACCCAGTGGGGACTATTATGGAAAATCTCCATGGAGTATGAATTCAGTATTCAGGGGAACCAAACAATCAGTGTGTGTGTGTGTGAGTGTGTGAGTGTGTGAGTGTGTGAGTGAGTGAGTGAGTGAGTGTGTGAGAGAGAGAGAGAGAGAGAGAGAGAGACAGAGAGAGAATATAGACTTAAGAGCATTTCCTAACTCCGTATATTACAGCTGACTAAAGGGACACAGGACAGCAGGTTGGTGATATAATGTATAATTTATTAAATTTATTACAAAAATATTTAATTTTTACAATGTATATTAGAAATTTTAAAATATATTCCTTTTAAATATAATATTTAGCATATACATTTATATTTATGATCGTTACTGAAACCAGTTTTTTTACATTTTAAATCCTTTTTGAAAGATTCTCTAATGATATCATGTGAAATTATACCAGAACTATACAGCTGAACAAAAACATTAGCTAAAATCTATTTTGCATTTGGCCTCTGATTAATACAGCTAAAAACAAATGCAAAACAAAACAGACAAATCTCAAGTGTTTTGATTCATGCATTGCTCTCAGCCAGCCTGAAGTGGAATTATGGGTAAACTATGAGTCAGTTCTCTTAAAGGCCAGCGAGCTCTTTACTTTTCATGATGGATCACGACCATTAAAGTGTCCCACTGATTTGTTCTCCAGCGTCGTTGAGTGGCTGCGAGGCCTGCAGGGGTTCGAGTGGATCTTCATGCTCTCGGTCAGCGGGACCTCATGGATGACGGACAGTGGCAGAGCGACGGCCCAGTGAGGCGGGGAGGAGTAACTGACCCTGACCTCCAAAATGACTCTGACTCCAGCCGCAGCCCGGACGAGAACCAGAACCGACTAGTGGAGGAAGCGGAGGAGGTCGAACAGGGGCCCCGTGGTGGACAGAGGCCCCTCCGACAGGATAACACTAACAACAACGGTGATGACGAAGATTATGACAGCTCCAAGGTGGAGGACGAAGAAGATGTGGAGGAGGAAGAGGTGGATAGTAACAGTGGAGCCTACTCTCCAGAGCTGGATGGACACATCCGAGACTCACCAACACCCAGCCCCAGCCCCACAGGTAACAGACAATGTCAAACTGAGTTCCAGACCACGGTTTGAGAAACAACCTGAAGCATTAGCATAGATTTAGCTTTAGTTTTTACTTAAAAATTTCATGGACAAACAACAACATTGTCAAAATGTTCCCCATTCACACAGACCCACAAAAACAACTAAAAATTCTGTATTATGCAATTTTTACAAAAAAATCACAGTTTTTGTAGTTTACACAGAGATGATAACAGTATCGTTTTCAAAAACTTGCACTTTGAAACCCATTTTTAGAAGTTTGAATTTTCAGGCCTCCAAAATGCTGTTGTCATGTAAATGAACAGCCAAAACCCATAAAAGTTTTTCATCTTTAGTCGAAAACAGTGTAATGTAAACAACCCCTTAAACTATTTTTTTTTAATTGTAATTGAAATAAAGAAATATTAAGTGCTAAACTTAAAGGAACACTCCACTATTTTTGAAAATAGGCTCATTTTCCAACTCCCCTAGAGTTAAACAGTTCAGTTTTACCGTTTTCGAATCCATTCAGCCGATCTCCGGGTCTGACGGTAGCACTTTTAGCTTAGCTTAGCATAGATCATTGAATCTGATTAGACCGTTAGCATCTCGCTCAAAAAAGACCAAAGAGTTTCTATATTTTTCCTATTTAAAACTGCAGCAGGCGCAATGATATTACGCAGCGCCTGAAAATAGGCTTATTGGAAGTTACCTAGCTGGGACTATTTTCAGGCGCTGCGTAATATATAGTAATATATATATATAGTAATATATAATAATAATATGTATAGTTCCTAGCCATATCGGCCTAGAAAATCGTAACTTTTCATTTTCCATCGGTCTCAGTACACGATGTAACTACAGAAGATTCAAGTTTTAAACTTTGGTCATTTTTGAGCGAAATGCTAACGGTCTAATCAGATTCAATGATCTATGCTAAGCTAAGCTAAAAGTGCTACCGCCAGACCCGGAGATCGGCTGAATGGATTCGAAAACGGTAAAACTCTAGGGTAGTTGGAAAATGAGCCTTAAATAGATTAATTAGGGAAAAATGGTTTTCTTTTAAGATTTATTTCAGCTTTATATAATTTCAGAAATTAGAAATGAAATAAAATAAAAAAATAAGTTGAAGTACTAAAATTACTAAAGCCAAAACTGAAATAAAAATAGATTACAGCTAAATAGAAATAATTAAAAATGACAAAAAAACGAAATTACTAAAATCTGAACTAAAATTAAATGAAAATTTAGAATATAAAAACAAAAAAAATAATTACAAATATTAATATTATAATAGTATATAAATAATACTAAAATAACACAGAATCAAAATGTGGTACCCAACCCAAAGTGTGAATCTATTCATTCCTGACAGCTAAACTGTCACATTACAGCATTTATTTAGCTTTCCATACATAATTTATTTAGCTTTCATACAGTGAAATTCTGTTTGTTTGGAAGTGCCAAGACTAAACAAATGAATAAATAAAAAACAGATCCTACAGTACATTAAGGCAGAATCAGTTAATCAGTTCCCGACCTTCACAGTGTGAAATTCTCCACATGTTGACCTGGAAGCAGTCAACCCAAGTTCAATCCCATGAGTCATGTGTCAGTGCATGTGTGTGAATGCACTGCCACGGTTCTTGCACAAAAGCAAATCACTAGCTCATCTAGCAGTTCCACTGTGCAGGTTTTTTCAGTTAAATTCTAAAGAGAATTTCTGAGGAGGAGCTTGTCATTTGCCGAAGTTTGTGAAATTCATGCCACTGAAATGTTACAAGATATTCTGAGAATTAGTCCTTGAGCACAACTATTTGTTCCTTCCCCTAAAGTCAGAAATATGTAAAGAAATTATGCTTGGTGGCTTTCTATGCAAATCAAGACGATTTTTTTTCTGTCATAGTTAGCAGTGGTGTGCTAGAATGCATCAGATTTTTATACTAATAATATAAAATCTGATTCTTTCAGTATCATTTATATATATAAAAATAAAAATGACTAATATTGAATGTTCCTTGGACATTGAATGTTTTTTTGTGGCACAACCCAGTCCAAACGGTGTCATCCTGAATTTATTTGTCATTCGATTGATCAGGCTGAGGGTGGAGAAGCGTTTCTATTGTCTGTGAGGATTCAGACACCCTAAGTAATAGTGCTAGACTTTTGTTTCTGTTTCTGCTGTAGAGCGAGTGACTGCATCCCATTGTTGTCGTGCAACTTTCAGACAGGTTTGAGGGGCGTGAATAATAAGGGCCAACCTCTAGAGCGAGATATGTCTGTGTTGATATACAAACACTGGGTGTAACATCTCAATTCAATTTTTTGGAGCATTTAGACACCTATATGCTAGATGTGTCTTGGAAAACCACATCAGGGTTATTACCGTTAACCAAGACTATTCAAAACATTTTTGTTAATTGAAATAAACTGAAATATGATCAAATATTAGATAGATAAACTAAACAAAAATTAGAAGTGTTCCTTGGAAACTAAATGAAATCAGTTGAAGCACTAAAAGAGAGAAAGAGAGAAAGAAAGAAAGAAAATACGTATGGAAATAAATAAAAACTAAAACTTAAACTGAAGTTAAAAATAAATAAATAAATAATTAAACGTAAACAGTAATATGGTTTAAAACACACACACACAATTATTAAAAATTAACTTAAAATTAAAATGAAAACTGAAAATATAAAAAAGTAAAGATATTCAGAATATTAAACAAAAAAAAAGTGTATAAACGGCACTAAAATAACACTGAATTACATAGTACATACAGTAACATAAGAAGTCTATTGGTAATAATAATTATGCTAAAATAGCATACAGTTAGTGTCAGTGTCAACACTTTTCAAAGAGGATGTGATATTTGTCTTTTCAGTGTCAGAGGGGCTTGTGAGTCCTGAAGGGACGCCTCACGGCGATGCTGGATCACCCCAGGGCTTCGCTCGCTCCCTGGTGGCGTCTCTGCAGGAGCTGGGGAAGCAGGGAGAACACCCTCTTCTGCCACAGTGCCTCCATCAGGTCTCGTACTCCTGTTCTACGTCATCTCCTCTGTGTGTGTGTGTGTGTGTGTGTGTGTGTGTGTGTGTGTCTCTGCTCGAAATGACTAAATGAGGTGTTAAATTAAACGTTCTTAACAAGGAAATGTGAGAGATGAACAACTAAATCTCTCATCATTCATTAGCAAACGCTTGTCTGTTACTAATAGACTTTCAAACTAAAACTCAAAAATACAGTAAAAACAGTAATATTATGAAATTATTACAATTTAAATGGACTGTTTTCTATTTGAGTATATTTTAAAATGTAATTTATTTCTGTGATGCAAAGCTGAATTTTCAGCATCACTACTCCAGTTTTCAGTGTCACATGATCCTTCAAAAATCGTTCTAATATACTGATTTAATTTAATGCGTACCCTAACACTTTTATGTATACTTATATTTAATGCGTAGTGCACTTTTATCTTTAGCTAACAAAACAATGAAAAATGTCTTTCTGCAATTTACATTTGACAAAAATACATTTTGAAAATGATGTGTGACCTAGCAACTTGATATATTGATTGTCAGTTTTTGTGGGCATCTGTTCATTGCCAGTAGATGGTGTAAACCTCTTATTACTTCAGTCTGCCTCGCTATTGTGTATGTGCCAGAACATGAGATGAATTTTCCTGTGCTGTTCCACATTGTTCATGAATAAGCTCGTGTTAGTCTGTTGTTGCTGCTGGCCTGTGCTGATAACATTGACTGATAGCGGTACATGATGAGTCTGATAGGAAGCAGAATAACCGGCACCTTAAATGGTCAAGCTCTATTAAATGTTTATTTGAGCTTGACCTTATTCAACATGTTTTACAAGAACATCTTTGCTCAGCTGGTTTAGTTTCATCCTGATGAGAGATTTATGTGAAGCTACAAGACGACACTGCTGGAACTGCTCTCATTTATCCCCCTGTGGATTTTGTTCTTAAAAGAGGTTTTAAAGGCAACAAATTGGATAACTGGATTTTCTTTTCACTTTTTAAGTGCACTGTGTATACTCAAACATGAGCAACAAAGCCCCTTCCTCAGCTCACCCAGACCATTTATTGAAAGTAAGCTGCAAAAGTGGGTCAGAAATAGTCATATGATTCATAATTATGTTAACATAGGATCTGTAATGTTTATATGGCTGTTTAGGCTGTATTTGAACTATGCCAGTAGACAGGATTTTTAATGATGCATTTCAATCTCACACTTCTAACTTTGTTTCGCAATTCTTTGACAAAATCAGAATTAAAAAAAGATGTTAATTCGCAATTCTGAGAAGAAAATTGAGAATTGTGAGATATAAACTATCTTTTTTATTTTTATTCCATGGCAGAAAAAAGAAAGGGGAAAAAACAACAAATTTGAGATGTAAACAAAATTCAGAGGGGAAAAATTGTGAAATATAATCTCAGAATTGCACAACTACAAGTCAGAATTGAGAGAGAGAAAAAATTGCAATTACCTTTATTTATTTTTTTCCTGTAGTGAAAACAGGCTTGCATAACATACATATAGATAGAAGATTTGAATAATGTGTGTGTGTGTGTGTGTGTGTGTAGTATTATTTTAGTATTGTTTAGATACTGATAAATTGTTAATATTTTTAATTGGATTTAATTTTATATTTTCAGTTTTCATTTTAATTTTACTTTAAGTTTTAGCCATTTTGTTGTGCTTTTGTAATTTTTATTAGTATTTTTTTTTAGTTTAAATGTTTTATTTTATTTTAAATTTTATTTTTAATTACAGTATTTCAACTTATTTCAGTAATTTTATTCTGTTTCCTATCAGATACATCATGTGCTGCTATCAGTCAATGTTATCAACATCTGACAACATACTAACACAAGCTTACTCACGAACAAAAAAAGTTTAAAATGGAGTCTGTAAGTTAAAGGAACACTCCACTATTTTTGATCATTCATTTTCCAACTCCCCTAGAGTTAAACAGTTGAGTTCTACCGTTTTCAAATCCATTCAGCCGATCTTCGGGTCTGGCGGTAGCACTTTTAGCTGTAGCTTAGCATAGATCATTGAATCTGATTAGACCGTTAGCATCTCTCATTCCGGCATAATAATCAAGGAACTTTTCTGCCGTACTATGGGTGCAGCAGCAAAGTTCCTTGATTATTACAGTCTTAGTACACGATGTAACTACAGAAGAGTCAAGTTTTAAATAGGAAAAATATCGAAACTCTTTAGACCGTTAGCATCTCGCTCAAAAATGACCAAAGAGTTTCTATATTTTTCCTATTTAAAACTTGACTCTTCTGTAGTTACATCATGTACTAAGACCGACGGAAAATGAAAAGTTGCGCAATGATATTACGCAGCGCCTGAAAATAGTCCCCAGCTAGCGAGATGCTAACGGTCTAATCAGATTCAATTATCTATGCTAAGCTACAGCTAAAAGTGCTACCGCCAGACCCGGAGATCGGCTGAATGGATTCGAAAACGGTAAAACTCAACTGTTTAACTCTAGGGGAGTTGGAAAATGAGCCTATTTTCAAAAATAGTGGAGTGTTCCTTTAAGTGGTTTGGACTGAACTGATTTCAGAAATTTGTAGAGAACGAAGAAGAAAAACAATGTTTTTGAATATCAGTGCTGGAAAAAATACTAGAAAAACAAAGAATTAGTGCCTAATTTATGTAGATCTCATAGTCGTGAGCAGCCTTATGAAAATGGATGAGGAATGAAGGAGAGTGAGAAAGAGACAGATTAAAAAAACAGAAAGAAAGGTCCGAATGTGTTACTGCCGCCCACTCGGTGAGGAATCTCTCATGTTGTACCGAGTTGACTGCACTCAGAGGAATACATGCTGTAGTGATTTTCATCCTGCCTCTTCACTTCAACTTTACCCTGCAAGATGTCTGAAGAGAGCTGATGTCAAGAGTTTTACTCAATGGGAACGAGTCTTTGCTTGCACTTCGGATAACAATAATAGGCCTATACATGCAGGTGTAGTAGAATAAATGCTGTCAAAGGTGAACTGACTAGTTTATCAGGTATAAAACATTGTGAAATTACATTAAGCCCTTATGCAGCATGTTTTAAGTGCATCATCTGTATATTTATGGGTAACACTTTATAATAACTGCCATTAAGTCATTAACAATCATTATAGAATGCTTAACAGATCTGTATAGATTCATATGATACATAAATCACTTTTAAAATGTACTTTAATGAATGACCTGTTTTATATAATGTAAAACACGAGTTATTTTACAGTGTTACCTAATGATGCTTTTCATTGTGTAATGTAATGCATAATAACTCCATGCTAAACTCTCTTCTTTACAGATTGCAGAGTCATATATGCGTGAGGAGGACTGTATCCTTAATATTATTGTTGTTGTTTTTTTTTTCAATTATATAATAATACAGAGGAACTGTGTAATGGTGTGTTTGAACAGCCTTTGACGCTTGTTCCATTATAACTCCTATTTTATACCCCATTGCCTTTGTTATTGTAACTGAATCGGGGATGCTTGCAATGTTTATGGATATAATGCTGTTTATTGTATTACATTCAGTGCATTACTGCAGCCAGTTATTGTCTTATATGACAGTATTTCACTGTGGAATTATTTAGTTTCGGTGTTGTAAAGTGCATTGGTGCTTTGGGGTTTCCCGCTTCCTGTAGATTTTCCTTAACCAGAGTATTTTCCAGATGAGAGAGCAGTCATGTTCATACAGTTAGAGAGACTCTATCACGAACGTCTGCTGTCTAACCTCGCCGCCCTACAGCAGCAGTGGGGTAAGTGGATTCTGGTAAACCGTTACCCAGAGCTGGTTCTTGACAGAACACCTTTTAACCTCGTCTTTCTGTGATCAGAGAGGAGACGGAGTTTGGTTGGCCAGTATCAGGACGGTCCAGAAGACAGAGACACTGATCTGGATGCCGAACACCTGGAGAAACTGAGACACATCTGCAGAACGCACAGACAGTGAGTGCACACTGCACATGAACGCTATATTAATTCTGCCACACAGATCAGGTCAACTTTTTGTATATTTATTTATTTTTTTAATTTGATTGCATGCTTCATTAGTTAAGCTACACAGATCAGGTCAACACTATTTTATTTAATTTAATTTTTAATTCAACCTTTTTATGCAGAAATTATTTTATTTTATTGCACTTTACAATAGGTTAGCCACACATATTAGGTCAAAAATATCTATATAATTTTATTGTGTGTAATTTTTTTATTGCATGCTACATTAGTTCAGCCACACAGATCAGGTCAACAATATTTTATTTTGTTTTTTTATTATTTATTTATTTGCTTGTTTGTTTGCATTTGTATTTTTTTCATTGCACACTTTAGGTCAGCCACACAGATCAACACAAGCCAACTTTTGTTTGTTTTTTTGCTCTCTACAATAGATCAGCCACACAGATCAGGGCAACTATATAATTATTATTTTTATTATTATTATGTTATGTTGTGTTATGTTTTTTATTTATTTATTTATTTATTGTATTTTTATTTTTTTCATTGCACACTTTATTAGTTCAGCCACACAGATCGTCAACTTTTTTCTTTTTTTTTTACTTTGTTTTTATTCATTATTTGATTTTATTGCTCTCTACAATAGATCAGCCACAATTTTTTATTTTATTCTTAATTTAGTTTTTTAAATCATTATTTTATTGCATCCTACAATAGATCAGCCACACAGGTCAGGTCAACAATATTTTTTTATTTTATTTATAATTTATACATTTTATTTTGTTCCACACTACATTACTTCAGCCACACAGATTGGGTCCATGATTTTTTATTTTATAAATTTTTTTGCTTCCCTAAAAATGTTTCTAAGTATTTTTCTCCACTCTTTTATAATGCATATTTTCCTAGATCAGATGTCCTACAGAGCTTGATCTCTGTAAAAATATGTTAGCAGTGCTGTAAATGGAGTACAAGTAAATGTTTAACCTTTCGAGCCACTACACAATTTAAGTATGGGGTAAAAGCTGTGTCTTTCTGTCCCGTTCCTCCGGGCCAGACACTTTCACCGGCAGCCAGCCACACCTGAGCATCTCTCTTTCTCCTCCTAAATTTAGCTCGTTTGTGTCTCATTTCTGCGCTCTGGCTGCAGTTTGCAGTCCTGAAATGGTTTAAGCATATGGCCCGTTGCTGTGCTTTCAGCAATTTGAGACAAGCGCTAGAGTTTCAGTATGGGAAATGTGCCGCGCTAATATTAGATTCCTGCTGAGCAGAGCGACCTTAGATTTGCATCCCCTTTTATGCACGTTGTCCTGCTACGAGAGAGATGGAGCAAGGAAAAAAAATACAGATACAACAGCTTCTTAAGATGATTTTGACTGACACTTCACTGTTTCTCATTTTTTTTCAGACCTGCATGGAGCGTTGAGAAGGTAAGACGGCTTTTGGAACAACATGTCTATATGTATGTAACTGTAATAAGAAATAAAGAAATCCATGTTTAAAGACCAGAGGGTGAATGTCAGTGTTGTCTGCGTGCGTTCATAGTGCGAGCTGTCCAAAGTGCAAAGGAACAGCGTGATCAGAGAAACACAGGGAGGAGAGCAAAACCTCAACACGCAAGAGCTTTCATGCAGCTCAGGTGAGTTTATTTCTCCAATGACAGGCCAGACCACCTAAAATAGACCATCAACTAGGAAAACACATCATCTTGGATTTGATACTTTGTGTACTAGATATATTTATTATTTTATTAATAATAAAAATAAATAAAAAATCTCCCTACCATCAGAGTAATTACCATAATATGATGTCTGTATTTATGTATGTATTTATTCAGTGTGAAATTACACCACCCTGCATCATATTTACTGAAGGAAATCCAATACTTGTTTCTTACTAATTTTGGAGTGCTGATTCCAAAAATAGTCCCTGTTTTGCTCGAGAATGTAACAGTTCCTCACAAAATATAATATAAGAGTCGTCTTATATTATACCCATAATCACCAGAAAAACTGCCACAAAAGACATAATTCCTATTTTCCTCTGAGCCAGGTTACAACTACGTTCAATTCTCAGCCAATTTTCATATGATTCATAATTCTGTAGATATTATTTTATGCTTAATCCTTTCAACTTTTACCACTCCTAAGTTAAATGATAACTTTTGAAAACTTTTAGTCATTGAAACTTTTGACATTTGAGTGCTTTTGTATATATATATGTGTAATATTTACATTTTTATATATTTTTTCTAAAAACTTTCCATCACGTACAGTTTTCGCACAAAATAGGTATTAAGATTTAGATTTTTCAAAAGGTATGTGCATGCATACATACATACCGTATTGGCCCGAATATAAGACGACCCTGATTATAAGACGACCCCCCCTTTTTCCAGATGTACCTTTTGGAAAAAGGCTTTTTAAAAAATCAACAGATTTGATTGAATGAAACCATCAGTTAATAATATATATTTTTAATATACATTTTCTTCCCCAAATATATATACACAATAAAAAAAAAATTTTTTTTTAAATACTATTTTGAGAGAAAACATAAGGCAAAATATCAGTTAACAACAATTAAGCTGTGATATTAATAAATATTGTTGGTCTCACTGTGGTTACCTCAACAGAAAGTTGTTTCAGTTGGTTATAAAAAGTAAATTCGCATTGAATTATGGCAAATAAAACTACTTAACATTGATCATGTACGTAAATAGGATCAGTTTTAATTTGATCTTTTAATATTAGTTGTGTACACCTAGTCACCTAGAAAGATTCTTGCATCATCTGTGGACGAGGCAAACCCCATGTCCCCTTCTTCAAGTACACACACACACACACACAGACAGAGTTAGAGTTCCCTCCTGTCCCTCCAGATCATGCCTTATTGATGAGACTCTCTTTCTCACCGGCTCTCGCAGCTGATGTGCTGCTGGGGTATGTTACCTGAACACCGCGTTACTCGCATTGAGTTCCCTGACCCGGTTTCACTTTTACATACCAGGCATGACAGCACCACACACACACACACACGCACAGCCTCTGCCCAGCCACCTGCTCTGGAGTGCGCTGAGCAGGCTTTCTGCTTGGCCGGGACTCCTGCAGCAGGTGCATTTTGCCCTGCGCCGGTACCCTCCCAGACACACAAGTTAGAGATTGATTGCATTCACTCATACTGCTTGTTCATGCAGAATTCTGATCCAAAAGTTCATCATAATATCATGCCCTCTGTTAGACATTGGCTTGAACTGTGGTTTCTGGATTGTCTGATGCGTTTTAATTGATCAGAAAGTAATTCTAAAGATAACATTTTTGTTTTTTTTGGCAATTACGGAGAAAGAATATTTTTATAATTTTATATATATATATATATATATATAAGCAATTATTTTAATGTTATGGCCATTTATTTATTATAAAAATTTACGTTTTATTGTTTTATTCAAATGAAAAATATATATTAAACAAAAATATTTTTACAGTATTCACAATTAATATTAACAATAATTATTGCAAATATTAAACCTAAAATCAAATGTATTTTGTATTAAAATTAAATATTTGTAATAAAATAATATTTTATTTTCCTGATTTGAGACATTTGTACACTTATTTATATCATTAAAAGTACCTTACAATTGTATTAATTTGTCAACCTTAATTTAATTCAAAAATATTTAATTAATAAAAATGATAAATAACCGTAAATTTGTAAGATGATAACGTGATGCTGCTTGCTGAAGTAAATATAGTAAAGTGACAGTATTGTTAAATGTTTTGTTATAAATGTTTCATGTTTAACAAAAAGCCTTTTGCAGTATGCTAGTATTCCATTTCAAACCTTTGACTCCCAAGAATGGTTCATTAGTTTCATATAAACCGTCTTCTCTCTCAATCTAAAACAGGGAAGGTTATGGAGGATCAGAGTACATCTGAGGCACAACAGGAAGTCATCCAGCATGAAGATTGTAGCAGCACCGCCCCACAATCCCACCAGAGCGAACAGCAGCATGACCCCTCCTCCTCCTCCCCGGCTGTGACGGACAGCTCCTCCTCTCCAGCCTGTGAGGATGCAGGAGCAGAAGAGGAGAGCGCAAGCATGGCAGCTTCCCACAGGGATGCAACACCAGAGCCCCACTCACCAATGGACACCGCTCTACCAGGCGACGTGGAGGCCCAGCCGGTGATGGAGGGAACGGGGGACACTGTGGATACGGGGCAGGATGTGGTGGAGTCTGTCCCACACATTAAGCAGGAAGATGGAGGGGAGGTAGAGGAGGCTTTGAAGCTGGAGGAAGGAGGAGCAGATCAGCTGCCTCTGGAGCAGGAAGTTCCCGAGAAAACAGCAGAGTTGGAGCTAGAGGAGAACGGGAACGGGGTGGAGTCGCTGGATATTATGCATGTGTCCATGCTGGATGACATGGCCAAACGCATACAGGTGGAAGAGGTGAGTGACAGATCTTCTCTCAATTTAGTTCAAATGACAAAGAGGCTTACTTGTTGTTTTGTGCTTGGCATGGCTTTGTTTTGAGAATTAGTTTGATTTCTAATCAGATCAATTTTAAAAGGTCTTTCTAATCAGGCCCTTAAGCACTTAGAGCGGTAACACTTAATATTCTGCATATATTGTGAGTAGTATGCAAATTTGAGAGATATTTTAAAGGGAAAGTGTGACTCTGTGCCACTAGCATCAACAACCTATAAATGACTTGAATGTCTGTATTGTAAGTTGGGATAAGGGAAATTGTATTAATTAACACAGAAAAAATAGCATATCTCACCCTTTAAAGTGCTTTGTTGTGGAACTATGATAGCATCCAGTGATGTCATCTCGGGCTTATTTTTTTTTGTTTTTTTTTTGTAGCTGTCCTTATATTAATTTATCATTTTTAGCAGGAGTCCAGGATTCATCGGGAAAACATTTTTAAAATGCACCTACTAGGAAGAAGAGCAATAAGACGGCATTATAAAATGAAAAAGTGCAGCTTTTTTTTTGAATGGCGAAGACGTGCTCACCCACAGACATTCACGCGATTGCCGTGTTCACATATGCCCAAACGAACCGAGCTAAAGGGGGAAACGCGCCAGGTTCCGAAACAACAGGCCAGGTGTGAAAGCACCCTTATAATATCTTAAAATAAGACAATTTATTTGAATTGTGCAAAAATACTTTAAAGAAGTTCAAGCATCACATTTTTTGTTTTAGTAATACAATTAATACAATTTCATGATTTTATTTAACATAAGATAATTATATTAATAATAGATTCATATAATTGCAAAATAGCCATATTTATGTCCCATCTAGACATTTTTTTTTTTTTAAGTTTACAAAACTGTGGGAGTCAGAATGGTCTGTGATAATCGACAGCATGTCTCAATGGTTCTTAAAGTGATAGTTCACTCATTCAAAATCATTTACTCACCCTCATGTTATTCCAAACCTGTACGAGTTGTTTTCTGCAGAACATAAAAGAAAATATTTTGAAGAATGTTGGTAACTAAACCAATGACTTCCATTTTATAGACGCATCTTTTATGTTCCACAGAAGAAAGAACGGACAGAAGTGATGACAGAAATAATTTTTTGGGTGAACTATCCCTTTAACTTGTAATGAACCTAGAACTCATCATTGGTGAGCATAGAAGCGTGATGTATTTTTGTATTATTTTCTTGGTGTGCTTGGTTTTTTTTTTTAAGCTCAGCTTGTGTGATCTCAGGTCCCGGCTTGGTAATTACCTCTTTTATTTCTTGTAAGTTACTGAGGTAAGAAGGCGTCTGATAAGAGCATAAATAATAGATGTCAGAATCTTAGCAGTGATTGGGAGAGCTGGGTGACCTGAAGGGTGACCTTTCCCCTGAATGTCAGAGCTGAATGAAAACGTAACAGGCAGACGTGTGTGATGATGTCATAATGACACTTCCACCCCTCAATGAAACAATCAACAATGGAATCTGGACCTCTGATCTCTGCCAGCACAATACAGGCTTTCATGAAGCCAATATCCTGTGTCTTAAACGCTTTTGTGCCCTGTTCCCAAACATGTGATGTGCCAATTCTTGGCGGGGGGATCTTGATTTCAGAACTAGTGTATAGCCAGCATCTTGTGTAAGTTAAGTGCTCTCAATATAAAACTACCATTCAAAATATTGAGGTCGGCAAGATTAAAAAAAAAAAAGTCTCTTATGCTCACCAAGGCTACATTTTGTAATTGTGTAACATTGTTACAGTTTAAAATAACTTTTATATTTGAATACATTTTAAAATGTAATTTATTCCTGTAATGCAAAGCTGAATTATCAGCATCATTACTCCAGTCTTCAGTGTCACATGATCCTTCAGAAATCATTCTAATATGCTCATCTGCTGCTCAAGAAACATTTCTTCTTATTATTATCAATGTTGTGCTGCTTAATATTTTTGTGGAACAGTGATACATTTTTTTCAGAACTCTGATAAATAGAAAGTTCAAAAGCATTATGTATTTATTTGAAATAGAAATATTTTGTGACATTATAAATGTCATTACTCTGTTTATATTAATTTAATGCATCTTTGCAGAAAAGAAGTATTAATATCGTTCAAAAAAAACTTTCTAGCTGCAGCTGTTAAAGGCATAGTTCACCCTAAAAAAATTTTTTAATTAAATAAAATTAAAAATACTTTTTTTTTATGAAACCTGTATGACTCTCTTTATTGTGTGGAAGACAAAAGAGGATATTTTGAAGAATGTTGTGGCCCCATTGACTTTAATTGTATTGGCAAAAAACAAGACATTTCTCAAAGTATCGTTTTTTTTGTGTGCCAGAATAGAGTTGTGACTCAACAGTGATGCCGTTTATCAGCATACATGTGGATTATGACCTTCAGCCTGCACCGTCAATTGTCAAATCTGTTGAGTTAGTTAAAATGGTTTGACTTTTGAACATTTGTCTGAGCATTCACTTTACTTGGAAAGGTCGACAACATACTGCGGAAACATGGTGTGCTTGCAAACCAAGTTGTGCTCAGTACCCGATTTTGATGCTTTTTAACCAGACAAAACCTACTAACCTGGAAAACCAAATTCAAAACGTGTTTGTATTATAACATGCAATACTCATTATTTATCGGTTCATTTGTAGTCGACTTAATGCCCAGAACAAGTACACAGCACTACCAGAGAATGATATACCATCAGCACTGTTGAGATCAGTTAAGATGTTCAAGCATATTTAAGCATAGTCAAAAGTTTAGCCTGTGAGATTTTTTTTAAACGTTTTTGAAATAAGTCTCACCAAGGCTGCATTTATTTGATCAAAACTAAAGTAAAAAGAGTCATATTGTGAAATAATATTACAATATTGTTGTAACTGTTTTCTATTTTATTACATAATAAAATGTAGTTCATTCCAGTGGTCAAAGCTGAATTTTCAGCATCATTACTGCAGTTTTAAGCATCACATGATCCTTGATTTGCTGCTCAAGAAACATTTCTTATTATTAATGTTGAAAACAGTTGTGCTGCTTAATATTTTTGTGGAAACCATGATACATTTTCCCTCATAATTCTTGAATTAAAAGCTCAAAAGAACAGCATTTATTTGTTTTGTTTGTGACAATGTAAATGTCACTTTTGATTGATTATATGTCTTTACTGAATGGAATCATTTTCTTATGAAAAAAACAAAACAAAGAAAAACTGAACAGAGAGAGCAAACATTACCCGACTGACATTATGTCCGCACTCATCAAACGTGATGTTTTTCTGTATAGGAGCGTCAGCAGAGCTGGAAACTTTCATTAGCGATGATAAGCATGTGTTATGTTGATTGCTTTACTGTTAATGGTCCACTTCGTGATGGGCTCACCACATTGTGGTGTGTTTTGAAGTCTAATTATTCAAGTGTCATTTACTCAAGTGATTAATGCATCTGTTATTAGTCCTATTAATTTGTCGCGCTGCTTATGCGCTTTGTACTTCCTAAAAGGAGTTTTTATGAGAGATTTAAAGCAAAACATTTGAATTTAACATCTAAGCCTATAGTTAAGTGGTAAAGTATAGTTAACCTCTACTTTATGTTATATCAATGTATTTAATCCTTTTAATGAAACGGATAGTTCTGTCACTAAAGTCTGATTAGAGATCTACATAGAACATTAGAGATGAGCAACACCCTTTACCATGGTAAAAACACATCCTCATGTGCCTTATTGCTTTAATAGTTTTATTTTGGACATTTAATACAGTGTTTAGTGGTACAGTGAGGTCTGCTCTCCTGCTTTTTAAAGTCTTTGTGGAATTGAGTCATTCTACAGGTTTTGGGGGGAAAAAAATGTTTGGCTTCAGTCTGTCCTGACAAATGTAACTGCTATGATGAAGCAAAAATAGAGAACTATAATTGCAGTGCTTGAAAATGTGTTTTTATTGGGACAGATCTTACCAAATATGGAAGCTCTCAGGGTGAAATAAGTGGACAGCAAGGGTTTTAGTGAAAAACAATCCTGCTACTCTTTTACAAATGAGAATTCAATAAGATCACAAACTAATGGTGTCGATGTAAAGTAATTCCTCTATTAATTACATGTATTTTTTATTTTTCTTTCCTTTATTGCTCACTTAGTGACTCTCTAGCTTTTTTTAATTTTTTTATTTTAGTTTACCTTTTAGTAATTTTATGTGCTTTTGTAAATTTTATTTATTTTATACATTTATATATATATATATATATATATATATATATTCGATTAAATTTTTTAATTTTATTTGTTTTAGTATATTTGGTACTTCAGCTTACACATTTTATTTCATTTTTTCCATTTCTAATTTGTAAGTTTTAAATTGATTGATATTTTATTTCAGCTTATTTCAATTCAAATATATTTTTAATTGTTTTACTTCTAGTTTAAGTGAACAATAACGACACTATGCAGCCTCGCTCACGTCATTATATATTCAGATTTATTCATGGGATTCAGTATTGATTGGTCAGAGGGCAGCTCTTCAGAATGTCCACTCATTCTCAGTGCTGATTGGTCTTTAGCAGTTTGACCTCTCTGTGACCTTTTCCATTCCTCGGTGGCTGGTGATGTAACATGACGGACTCTCTTTCCTGACCGTCTCCAATACTTTCATTCTCATGTACATAATTTATGAAGAGGGGTAAACCCAATTCAGCAGAAGTGCTGGGCAAATGGATTCCAGCTCTTTGCTGAATAGTAAAGAACATGTATAATGTACTTTTTTTTTTTTTTAACAGCAGCACTTATTTAGTATTAGAATTGATTTTATTCCATTAAGAATGACTCCGAATTCCATTCAGAATATTTAAATAATGAACGATGATTCTGAATATTTTTGTATGTAAAGAGAGTACAGCTTGAAATTAAATGTCTCTAAAATGTTTGTTACGTTTTAATGCAGTTTTTTTTTTTTTAAAGTAAAAACATTATTTTGTTCATTTTTTTTATATTTATATTTTTTGGCTGTATAGTTTTTATACATTTTTATTTCAGTTTTATTTTAGTTATTTTAGTACATCATAAAATGCTGTATTTTACATATTGAACCCTACATCCAGGCAGCCAAAAAAAAAAAAAAAAGGTACATTTCCTGCCCACTCAGCTCATAGTGACATCTAGTGGGTAGAGTATGTTAGTGCAGAACACTTCCTAATTTTTTGGAGACACTATGAGCCTGTGAATCCAGGAATCTTTCTCAATAACTAGTCCTCTGTCTTTCAGATCACTCCAGCTGCTGGTCTTGTGTCGATCTTGAAGAGAAGAGTCTCTCTGGAAGGAGCCAACAGCTCTGTCCCTGCCGCCCCTAAACCCGTCTCTATACGCAAAGTCCGTTTCCACGAGCCTGACGAGGGCCTGGACCACGGTAAGAACTGTTATAGTTTTCTAAAAACTAATTTTTGCAGTATTCAAACTGACCATGTTCTGATTCTACACTTATTTGCTTATATGCAATATGCAGATGAGGTGGGCGGAGACTCCTGGCTGCTCCTCCTCTTGTTGTGCTTGGCTACTGTGGTGATCAGTGTGGGCGGGACTGCGCTCTACTGCACTTTCGGAGACGCCCAATCCAGTGTGTGCACAGACTTCTCCCATAACATGGACTTCTACATCGGACGGGTGCAGAGGGGCATGGATGAGCTCAAACACTGGCTGTCCCCGAGCTCATAGCAGGACGGGACGACTCGTTTTCTTCTCCGTTTCTTCTTCTCTGTAGCCTCCGTGATCTTTAATGCTGAGATATCCTCATACGTAGGCCTTTGCTGGGTCACGCTGTCACGGATGAAGCCAGTCTGTCGGGTCCTAAAGGGGACGTCCGGCCCCTGGAAGGCACAGCAAACCACTTTGGCCAGTTTTTGACTCAAGTAGCCCACTGTTTACTGCCATCAACTGAACCTCATGTGAAGAGACTTCATTTTTAGAGTCTTAAATCGAAATCTTAATACTTGGTTGACAGAGTTTTGTCTTTTATTCATTGGAAAAGTGAATGACCATCATGGTACTTAAGATATAATAATGGACATAATCATCTGTAGCCTGGACGTAGCATTTTCCTGTGATTGGCTTGGATGGACTTATGGAAAGATGGTACAGGAAAGCAATACATGTATATTGAGGAATTACAGATATAGATATAGTTATAGATACATAGATAAAGTCAGCAAAGAGGCAAATCTCGGTTATTCTATTAAATGTCATTTTCCACATAGAAATGAATTGGTAACTATGCTAACCAGGATTTGTTTTCCTCTAAACCAGGCCTCCAGTGTATAATGGGAAGTTTTTAAGATGAAACTGGTACTAGAACGAGAATGTCATATGATTTTAATATCATTTGCTCAGGCATATCTCTTGTTAATAATCTTAACAGTTATTGTAATCATGATTTTGAATTCATTTTCTTTTTGTTATAAAACCATGACCTCCTGTGTTATGTCTTATTTGGTTATTATAAGTGCATCCTGTGTTTATTCTACCGAATCTGTGTCTTGAACTTCTATGTTTCCTTCTGAAGCACAGTCTTACTATGGTAATGTCAACATAAGTCTGCAGTAAATAAAGTTAAATTAACGTGTAGATTTAACACATAGATGTCAGTTTGCTGTGCTCTGCTCAAGTGCATGAACGTACTTGGCGAGAACTGTAAAAGTTTATTTGTATGTTGTCTGGCTGGTTCAGATGACTGTTGAATGTCTTTATTGTGTGAGTTTTCAGTATTTATTTAATGCAAAGTAAAGTTTTTTAGAATCACACGTTCTGGTGCATGCACTCTTTTACTGTCTGTACAGAGACAATTTGAGACTTTGGAACTTATATTTGTTTTACTTCATTTTGATTTTGTGTATATATCATGTGATGATTGCTGTATTTCTTAATTGTATGGTTCAAATCTGTTTAGTTATTGTCTCGGGGGGAATATTTCTAAAGGAAAATGCAATGAGATGTCTTTTGACCAAAAATGCCTGGTGAATAAATCTTATTGTTGGGATTGAGGAGTCTCTGTATTATTTGAATGAAGTTCAAAAGCTATGTTTTGTTATGTATTAAGGACTGAATTAATCATATATATATATATATATATATAAAACATTATCCATTAATATTTTTTTATTACATTTCTATTTTACATATTGAATATCCTGGCAAAATGTCGCATTACAGAAGAAAATGGGTTGTGAATGTGCTGACTAAATTATTTACCTAACAATTACGTAATTTATGTAACATCATATTATGGTGGATATATTAATATTATATTAATATAACAGTGTAAACAACATAAAATATTTAAAAATACACTAATAATTAAAATAAGTAAATTGTTGTAATAATACAAATATTTTATTGTGTTCCCAAGAAAGTTATAATAATAAATATATGAAAATTTTTCAAATACAGATAACCCCGTTTTTATTAATTTTCATAAATCATGTTTTTTTATTATGTTTTTAGTGTTTTAGTTAGCTGTATTTTTTTTAGTTATTATTATTTAATCAAAACAACCCAACTGCAGTTTGATTGATATTAACTGGAATGCAGGATAAATTAAAAAACATGATTAAAACAGAGTTATCTGTTTGTGCAAATTAACTCTTCATATAATTATGTAATTGATCTAACATTAACAATAAAAATAGTGTGTGTGTGTGTGTGTGTGTTATGTTGTAACAATGCAAACAACATAAATCATATCATACTGTAATCCTAAGAATCGTTTTATCCCAAAACCCGTTCCGCCTACAAACCGAGTAGACCAATCAAAAACGAGCTGACGTGACGTATTTCACGGTTGTGTTCTAGATGTACTGTATGCGTATGCTCGACGCAATTCTTCTTTGGTCAACAACACTTAAAATATTTGCTTGATTCTGCGTAATTTTTGTAATTACAACAACTTCTAAATCGATGTACAATTATCTAACGAATCCTCGACTGGGCATCCATCTTCCTCCGTCATTTTATTGATTACCCTCCGTCATTATCCTATTTATTCAGAGGGTGCGCATGCAAAGCTGCACATCGATGACGCTCTTGAACGAACCTCGACTTGTAGGCGTTAGCGGAAGTTTGTGTCAGTCGTTCTCCGTCAGGTGTTCGTCGCGCTGATCGCAGTCTCTCTTCCAGTATCAGTCCAGACGATCAGCAGCGCTATGGCGGCGTTCAGTACCTCATCCAGCAGGCCCTACCACATCATCATCTTTGGCGCTTCTGGTTTCACGGGGCAGTTCGTGGTGGAGGAGGTGGCCCGCACCGCATCCGAGGGTCCCAAGGGGAGTCTGAAATGGGCCGTAGCCGGCAGGAACAGAGCCAAGCTGGAGAAAGTTGTGGAGCAGGCCGCCGGAACTCTCAGTGCGTGAAGCCTCCTTCAATTATGCTAGATTTGCTTTAAACGTCTACATTTGAATTTAGTGAACTGATATAACCGTTCAATACTCTTTCGCTCCAAAAATACCATAGTACAGTTATTTTTTAGCTTTGTAAAATCATCAAAAGTGTTTCAGAAATGTTCTTGAATGGCTTGTTTCATTCATTGATTGATGATTGCTGTAGTAATATCTGCTGGTCACAACGAGGAACTATGGTATTTTAGACAAAACTTATGGTGACAATGGTATTTGTGTAATGCAATAACGTTAGATGTTGCAAGACAAAAGAAAAAAATCATCGGAACTATTACTGAGTTCATATGAGTGCATCATGCATTGATATCGATGAATGATATGTATTCATTTTGCATGTGCGTAGAACTAGTATGACTATGACAAGGTTATTTACTGTTAAGTAAAACCGTTACAATTAGTTTAATATGGAAATAAAGTATAAATATTAAAAACCTAAACTAAATGAAAATTAGAAATGCTGCCTTGAATGATTAGCAAATACATTTCAGACACAAATGACTTGCTGTAAATTACTAACTGTATTTACAACTAAAATACAAAATGAAACAAATAGTAATATTTAAAAATATTTTAAATGACAAAAGCACATAAAATGATTAAAATCATTTTAAGTACATATATTGCATGATAATTTAATATTTTAACAGTTAAAATGCTAAGTCTCCTAATAAAAAAGAAAAAGAAAAATTGCATTGCACAACCTTATTTCTCCTTTGACCTCTCAATGCTCAGCAGATGTCACATATTTATATTAGCAAATTTAGGGATTTTTCCACTCTTCAGAGATATTTACTGATGTTTTGCATCTTTTGAAAAAGTTCCAGTATAGTTGAGCAGAATGAGTTCTCATCGAAAACAACTGCATTTCAATTTTGTTATGCTTTTAGCAGAAGTACAAAAGGAAGCATCATAGAGTGTAGGAGCAGCAAACTTGGCAATGACTTGAAAGTGTTAGAAGGGTTGCATTGACGCAACTATATTGGACTGGACTTGACTTTGACCCGCATCGTGGCAATCGGTAGTGAACTGTTTTTCTTTAATGCTTGATACTGTTCTGCTTTGCCTAATAAATGCCTTTGTGTGGGACATTGCATTGTTCAGCTTGGATAATCTACATGCATTTTTTAAACAATAGGCTCTTTGGTCATGGTGGTCTTCAGAGACGGTTTAATTAATCCTCAACAGCTGATGGAAAATTATATTCCAGTGACATATTCAATGCCTTTAATCACGTAGCTTTGAATGGATGGGCTCAAGCAGAACATTTGCGCAGAGTTAAATTTAGATTTCAGTAAGAATTCATTTAGCCAGACGGGTCACTGAATAAAGATAGGACTGTTTAGGATTCCTTTTAGTGAAAGTTATCTGATCTTAGTGGACAAACTGAATTATTTATGACATGGAGTTTGGCCTAGACCGTTTTGCATTTATGCAGTAAATCGTAATCTTGAATAATGTACGGTCGCACCAGTTTGCATTAAATATGACGCATAACCCAGCAGAGTTTGCATAAATAATATCGTAAAATGTTTGTTCTCAGGTAAGCCGGAGCTGAAGTCGGAGGTAGATATTCTCGTCGCAGATGTCAGCGATCTGGATTCACTGGCTGTCATGTGCAAACAGGCTGTTATTGTGCTCAGCTGTGTGGGGCCTGTAAGTACGCAAGACTGTAGCACACATAATCCCTTGTATATGAGCTGTATTATATATGATATATGTCATAAAACATCAGGCTATTGATTAATAACTTTTTGCAATAGAACACTCTGATGTTTACCCAGCTTGCTACATCAGGTTGATAACTGTATGTGGTTATGCAATACCGTCCTTCAAACAAGATAATCACATTTGTACATTGAACATCAGATGATCTTGTATTAAGGGTCGGTCACAATAAACTTTTCGTTCCATTGAATTCCATTCATACGCAAGCAAATGCGGGAGACCTGGAAATGAAAGCCCATGTGAAAGTTTTGTATGCATTGCTCAAAGAAATTTCAGATGGTTAAAGTCTAGTGTGACTACAGCTTTAGATTATTTTTTTAATAATTATAATTATTTTTATTTTTTTAAATAATTGTCATGTCATATCTAAAGGAGTAAAGAGATTGTTTTTTCCCCAGATATTTTTAGTCAATAGTATACATTTTTGTATAGAAAATTGTATACATTTTTTATTTACGCTACCGTTTAAAAGTTTGGGGTCAGTAAGGCGGGTTTTATGCTAAGCAAGGCTGCATTAATTTGATAAAAAAATACAGTAAAACTGTAATATTGTGAAACATTGCAATTCAGAATAACTGTAATTTATTCCTGTGATGCAAAGCTGAATTGTCAGCATCATTATTTACTCCAGTCTCTCACATGATCCTTCACAAACCATTCTAATATGCTAAAATGCTGCTGCTCATTATATTACGAATTCAGAACTTTGATATTTTTCTACAGTATCGATTTTTTGGTGACCCTGTTGTCAAGTCGTGTGTGGAGAACGGAGCACACTGCATTGATATCTCTGGAGAACCACAGGTGCTTTTCCTGACACTTTGTTCTTTTATCATGATCAAAATCAAAATAACAATAAAACCATAAATTGGCATTGATCATAACAGGTCATAACAATATTACAGTCAACATGAAGTATTCACAATACTTCCATAATGTGACAGTCCTGCGTGAAACAGGAAAAGGAAATGTGCTAGTTATTTTGATAAAAGGTTATGAAGACCTATTCTTTGGAATAACATGATGAATTATAAGACCACCAATGTGTATCAAGC